AAATTTTTCATTCATGTTGAGTTTTCTCCTATCATCAAACATATCTGTATTGGAGTGCTTTTACCCCTCTTAAACTACTACCATGAAAGAAAGTGATTTCTCTGTCATTTAGCTATTTATCTCCATAATACTCAAGGGTGAAATTAAAAAAAAAATGGATATTACTCTTTCTGCTGACAATTGGCAGATACCCCAAGGAAGTGGTATATGGAATGAAATGAGCCTCTATAGGGAAAATGGCCTTGTCTTGTTTCTAATATTTTCCTTATTCTCTGCTATCTGTCAAATTAATCCCTTTTCTTCCCCTGTCTGACTTTCTAAAGAGAGAAAAAAGTCAAGAGTTTTAAGCAGTTGCGCTTCCTCTCACTGAACATAAAGGTTCCTGGCAGAACAAGATCAGCCATCTACCTCCTTAGCTCTTGGGATCTGAGCATTAAAAAGCTCTTTCCTATGGTTGGAAAGAAAAAAAAAAGAAGGGTGAATACGTATTACAAAAGGCCAGTGCTATTGATACTATCAGGTACAGAAAGTTGGAATTTATCATATCTTTTAATCCTGATTTTTAAAAGCCCTCTACTTTATGCCTGTGCAAATTTGAGGGTATAAATGTAACACCATAAATCTTTATAAGACAAAGAGAAAGGCAAAGAATTGAGAGAAGTGCAGCTTCGAAGGCTTGGAAAGTCACATGACATATGTGAAATCAGGCAAATGTTCAGGCACATTCAGGACCAGAACCCAGCTGTACTATAGTATCTTGACATTACAGATTACTGGATTTAGAGCTTAAATATTTGAATTTGAGATTTGCTTCTGCCTTTTTAACTGGCTGTGTGATGTGGGGCAAGGTAACTTAGCCACTGCCAGCTTTGGCATCTTCCTTCTTTACATATGGATCACAGGGACACCTCTCAAGGTTATTTTGAGCATTCTTAGAATTAATAGACATGCAGGCATTTTATAAATAGCAAAGCAACAGAAGTAAAACAAGGTATATTTAAAGGCATATATGAATGGTTATCCCTTTGCTGAGAACAGTGGCACACCCCAGGGGCCTTTGGTCACTCTCCTTTCTTCTTGACCAATTAGCAATTCGTTCTTGTAAGATTTTTCTTCTTCCTCCCTGTTGAGGCCTCCCTCTCCTCTCTCCAAAACACTGACTTCTATCATTCCTCCCTGCCTGCTTCTGACTGCACTCTTACTCTCCCTGAGGGAGCGGGCTTGGTTTCCTGATGTCTCTACATCTAACCCCTTTGGGGTGGGACTATGCACGCCACCTCCCATGAAGCTCTACCAGCCATTTCAGCCCTGTCCCTCAGCAAGTGTGTGCCATTCTCCTGATATATAGGCTGAAGATTTCAGTGACTTTAATATAAGTTTACAGAGGGGACAAGTAAACACTGGATTCCATCAATCACTATAGTTCTGGCTTGCAGAGAGGTATACTCATTGTGTACTTAACAGCTTGTTACTCACAAGGAAAAAAAGGTACTGAGGCTGGGCATGGTGGCTTATGCCTATAATCTCGGCCCACTGGGAGGTCAAGGCAGGTGGATTGCTTGAGTTCAGGAGTCTGAGAACAGTCTGAGCAAAAATGAGACCCCATCTCTACTCAAAATAGAAATACTGAGGCAAGAGGATCGTTTGAGCCCAAGAATTCGAGGTTGTTGTGAGCTATGATGGCACAGCACTCTACCCTACCCAGGGCGACAGCTTGAGACTCTGTCTCCAAAAAAAAAAAAAGAAAAGAAAGGAAAGCAAGCAAGCAGAAGGGAAAATGTACTGAGTCCATCTTTGTGCAAACAGTCTTCCCAACATGACCCTAGAACAACGGGGTGGCCTTCACTAGGCACACGGGCCCATGCTACCTTCTCTGACACAATGGCTGCAGTGGGTGAGTCAGAGGTTCATGGACAGTTTATGCCTGCATGAAAAAAAGTCCCCTCTCCTTTCAATGGCCAACAGGAGTCTTCAGAGACATTCCAGGCAAGAATATTCTCTGCACTTCTGTTCTGCACTTCTACAGGGCATATCACTCACCCTTCCTTAGCAAGGGACATCCTTTGCTTGGTTAGCTCCAGTTCCCACTGGGCGGAACATGGGTCTCTTGGTTTACTGCTATTTCCTTAGTGCCATATGGAATGCATGGTGCACAGTGGAAGCTCAATGAACAAAAGAATGAAGTCTGCATACATGTGTATAAACTGTGTTATTATTAAGGTGTTATAATGAACACTAAGTATTAAATAATATTAATATGTAGCATTTATATGATTCCCTTTCTCAACTTCTAAGATTATCTGTTAGAGCTTGAAAACACAGTGGCTTAATTCCAAGTCATGGAAAGATGAACATTCTTTGCAAGGATTTCTTCACAAGGCTTGGGATTATCACTGTCCTCAGAGCACTGCCTTGGAGCCCTGAAACTGGCCTTTGCTCCTCTAATTTTCCTGCCCCAAGGCTTTGCTTCCACACTTAGCTCAGCCAGTTACCATGGGCGTAATCTTAGCTTCCAAGTAACTGTTCTCTAAGCAAGGCAGGTGTCCTCAACTCTAGCTACACAATGAAATTTACAGTAGAGCTTTTAAAAAAATCCCTATGTTATAACCTAAGGACTGATTTAATTGGCCTTGGGTGGGAGTTGGGTCCAGGTGTATTTTCAAATCTCTCTTGATTTATAGCACCTGGGGCATTAATGCCACCTTGCAACCTACCCATCAGGAAGTCTTCTACAGAGCTGTCATTGTGAAACATCAAAGATCAGTCTGTTGATAGCTGTGAATCTGATTAGTCTAACCCTGTCTACAAGTTCTGGGAATCAAGGAATCCCATTTTGCTCCCTATAAAAGGTCATCTAGGAATACGGATGCACCCCCGTTCCACTGTGGCTGAGTATCAGTTAAGATAGCATGTGTTTTTTAATGTTTAACTAAATTTACATCATCTTTTATTTTTAATGAAAATATTAAACTTTTATTCTTATCATTAATGATCTCATGATAATGTTGACCTGGATGAAAAATTGTATAAGAATCCTCAAAACTTTTTATTTGTTTATTTATTTTTATTAAATCATAGCTGTGCACTCCCAGGCACATCATAATTAACTTCACTAAAGTTAATATGAAAGAGAAAATTTTGAAAGCAGCTAGATGTAAGAAAACCATAACCTACAAGGGGAAGAATATTAGAATGACTGCAGATCTCTCTGCTGAAATCTTTCAGGCTAGAAGAGGGTGGTCATTGACTTTTAATCTCCTAAAACAAAATAACTTTCAACCCAGGATCCTGCATCATCTTTTAAAATAAAGGGTGTTTATAAGCATTAGCAGCTCATTTGGCTGAGAATATACACTTTAGTCTTCATGATTTTCTTACCCATTGACCTGCAATAAAAATGATTAGGATAGAAGACTATATTAAGTGAAGTTCTTTTAAAGTGCTAAAATTAGGCACAAGTATCCAGAAGAACTAAAATAATTTTTTGTTAAAATCTAAAGGTTAAATTGAAAATGAAGATTATTCTGAGTTGATCCAAGAAAGAAAAAAAAAAAGTACAAGCAAAGGCGCCCCCCTCCCCAGTTCTGCCCAGTCCCTCTGCTCTCCCTCACATGCCTGGCACTGTGCCACCAACATCTGGCAGCAGTCTCCTTCAGCCATATGTGTGGCTGTCTTGCTGGCCTGGTCACTGTGGCAGTTCAACAATAAAACTGCTCAGCAGTGGGCACTGGAGATTCTTGACTGATGAGTCAAGATATTTTCTTGAATGTTCATTTCCTTTTTTGTCTTTTTTTTTTTTTTTGGAGGGTAGAAAATGGAAGGGGATCACACCCAAATTTTAGGTTTTTAATGCAAAACATATTGATTTTGCTTTTCTTTTCTCTTCCTGATATTTGAATAAATCATTATTTAGAAACTCATGTCTCCAGGCAAAATGAAAAAAAGTACTCTGGAGGACAGAGGAGGACTTTGCCGTCTCTGAGAGCTACTCCATTTGAATGGAGTCTGGTGGCTCTGACCCTCCCGAGCAAACATCAGGAATCTAACAAAGTGCTTACCCTCAGCACCTGTGCTGAGAGATTAAAGGCGGGAGGGACACCGTGGAGGTCAGCATCCCTCTGCCTCAACCTCTGACTCCTCAGCTCATGGGAGATGCTCACAGAATGTCCAATCTAAACCCCCAACACAGAGAACCAGGACAGCAGGCAAAGGATGCTGCAAAACCTATCTCTTGCGAGGTACGAACAGGTGCGGAAGGCAGTCTGGGCATTTGATTTCCACGCTTTCTGGCTGGGTGGGATCCACTATAATCGCTGGGTCGGTACATTTACAGATGTTTGCACAGTAGGCAAAAAGGTTATTCTCAGCAGTCATCCCCCCATGGGGCTGCAGCGCTTGAAAGGTAAGGTCTAGAAATTTCAATAACACCGGGCCAGTAATCCATTCCATTTCCTTCACATTAGTTGGCGCACACAGACCTCTGCTGTGTGCAGAGGGGCCATCCTCGCCAC